ATTATTTTCTGACAATTGTCTCGACAATTATGTCTATTTTAATGGTCATCCTTGGGGGGGAATAGTGGGTAATCATTGATTAGTTGCTTACACGCGAAGAATAAGTTATGAATTAATGATATTTGCATTCGTATTAAATATATTTATATATATCCACATTATTCAGGTATTGTAGGTAGACTACTGTAGTTATCATTTGAAAAATATTTTTATAATTCAACGGTTGCTACGCATTGTCATTGTTTTTTATGATTTCTTTGAATTTTATAGATTGCATTCAAATTGAAAACAAAAGTGAAACAAATAAAATAATGAAAAATAAAAAAATACTTCTAATTTATTAAACTTATTTATTTAAGTACAGATTTATCTAACTATGCTAAAACTATGCTTTTTCTGTACAAGTAAGAATACTATAATTTTTAAAAACACTTCAAAAATAGTCTGAACATTTTGATTAATGACAATAATTTAATATTATTTTAAATGTTTATTCGTTTAAACCAGTTAGAATTGGTCTTAAAAATAAATTAATTTGAAAACTACATAATACATTGGTTACATAAATTGTGAATTTCTAAATACATGTCACTCTTTGGTCACATTCTATATAATTAATGAGTTTGACAGCAAAAACATCAATATTGAAACATTCTGTATGAACTGTACTGTAGTGTGTAAAACATGGAATACTAATACATATTTGAAAATACAGTACTTTCTAATTTGTCAAATGTTCCGATTTATAGTACATTTATAGTATTGATGTCACGAATGAAATCATTTATTAGGTCTTAAAACAATTTTAAAAACAGAAGGCTTTTAATTAAGAAAAGTTTTTATCTAAGAGTGACATAAATGTAAAACACTGAATAGTCAACCCCCATATTCTATGTGCTTGCTACTTACAATTAAATTGAATAATGTTTTATATTCCAATCCACTTTTAATGCAAACATATTTTCTGTATTAAGATAAATAAAATTTATGAATGATTGCGTTTACACTTTAAATTAATTGCAAGAAACAAATGTTTTTGAAAGAGTCAAAGAATCTATTTTTAAGTAAATCACGATTTAATGTAAATCAAAAGTATAAAAGGAAGGCAAAATATAATTGTGAACAGTGTACATTTGAAAATAGAAACAAGTAGTCTTGTAGTTAAACTATGCATTTCTACACAACATTAGTTGTACTGCTATTAGCAGTGTTTGGCGGTAAGAATATTTATACTTAATATTAGATTTTGAAATTTGCTAATTTTTATTTGAGTAACTTATTTGTAAGAAATCTTATAATTCATAGTTTGGGCTCAAGAATTGAATGTGGAAACTGAAGTAAAGACTGAGAATGAGCCAGTTGCTATTCAGAGACCTACCTCAACTGGACATGGATTCAAATTCAATGCAAACACTGAGAGCAGAAAAGTTGGGCTCCAAATATTAGATGGTTTAATGAAAAAGCATTTGGGATTAGTTAAGGCCAATGAAACCAAATCTGAGGACACGGACGAAGAAAAGAGAGAGAAGAGGCATTACGGAAGTTATGGGGGTTATGGGGGTTGTTATGATTATTATAATTATTGTTATTAATAATTACCTGATGCCCACCAAAACAGAGTATTTTTAAAATCAAATTCTAAATTTTTAACATATATTAAAATCAATTCAAAAATCAATTTATAAATATTCAAAAATTGTATATTGTTTCCAATACCTTGTTGGTATAAATTTTATAACAGTATTATTATTATAGAATAACAAATAAATGAGCAATATTTCATAAACAAAAAATCATTTATTCAATGAATTAATTATATTTAATGTAAAAAATTGTGGAATACTGTACTTAATTCGGTCACTTACAATGTGACTTAACAATTACTAGTTAAACTAATTTTGATAGTTTTAATAAAATAACTAATGAAATGAAATAATTTTAAATGTGAAAGATTTACCAAATTCAAGGTTTTTAGTAAATTATTACGTTAAGTTTAGTGCATAATAACTTAAAATAGTTATGTTTTTATTAAACATTTATGAATTGAATTAATATTATTATTTATTAAAATAACAAATAAAATTTAAATTAATCTTAACCAGATATTTGACATATTTGATTTGTTTCCAATAAAACAAATGTTGAACAGACATAACAACAAGTAATTTATAATAGAGAACAAAATGTAAACTGAATATAAATCTATTGTACAAGTTAGTTTTGATCATTTGTAAGATTCAACTTCGCATACAATGGCTTTGAATAAAATATTATTATTACTTTTAGTAGCATATTGTATGGGTAAGCATTTAACAAATTATAGTTAAAAATAAATAATAATTCTCATTGTGTTCACAACTAGTCTTATTTCAAGAATCGAGAGTCGATTCCAAACCTATTGGATCTAAATTACGAGAAAAGCGTGGATTTCTTGATCTATTCTTCCCACCCATCCAGGAGATAGTGGTTGAACACCACGTAAGTACAGATTTATCTAACTATGCTAAAACTATGCTTTTTCTGTACAAGTAAGAATACTATAATTTTTAAAAACACTTCAAAAATAGTCTGAACATTTTGATTAATGACAATAATTTAATATTATTTTTAAATGTTTATTCGTTTAAACCAGTTTGAATTGGTCTTAAAAATAAATTAATTTGAAAATTACATAATACATTGGTTACATAAATTGTGAATGTCTAAATACATGTCACTCTTTGATCACATTCTATATAATTAATGAGTTTGACAGCAAAAACATCAATATTCAAACACTCTGTATGTACTGTACTGTACTGTAGTGTGTAAAACATGGAATACTAATACATATTTTAAAATACGGTACTTTCTAATTTGTCAAATGTTCCGATTTATAGTACATTTATAGTATTGATGTCACGAATGAAATCATTTATTAGGTCTTAAAACAATTTTAAAAACAGAAGGCTTTTAATTAAGAAAAGATTTTATCTCAGAGTGACATAAATGTAAAACACTGAATAGTCAACCCCCATATTCTATGTGCTTGCTACTTACAATTAAATTTAATAATGTTTTATATTCCAATCCACTTTTAATGCAAACATATTTTCTGTATTAAGATAAATAAAATTTATGAATGATTGCGTTTATACTTTAAATTAATTGCAAGAAACAAATGTTTTTGGAAGAGTCAAAGAATCTATTTTTAAGTAAATCACGATTTTTTATAAATTTAATGTAAATCAAAAGTATAAAAGGAAGGCAAAATATAATTGTGAACAGTGTACATTTGAAAATAGAAACAAGTAGTCTTGTAACTAAACTATGCATTTCTACACAACATTAGTTGTACTGCTATTAGCAGTATTTGGCGGTAAGAATATTTATACTTAATATTAGATTTTGAAATTTGCTAATTTTTATTTGAGTAACTTATTTGTAAGAAATCTTATAATTCATAGTTTGGGCTCAAGGATTGAATGTGGAAACTGAAGTAAAGACCGAGAATGAGCCAGTTGCTATTCAGAGACCTATCTCAACTGGACATGGATTCAAATTCAATGCAAACACTGAGAGCAGAAAAGTTGGGCTCCAAATATTAGATGGTTTAATGAAAAAGCATTTGGGATTAGTTAAGGCCAATGAAACCAAATCTGAGGACACAGACGAAGAAAAGAGAGAGAAGAGGTATTACGGAGGTTATGGGGGTTGTTATGATTACTATGATTGTTATAACCCGTGTTATTAATAATTACCTGATGCCCACCAAAACAGAGTATTTTTAAAATCAAATTCTAAATTTTTTAAATATATTAAAATCAATTCAAAAATCAATTTATAAATATTCAAAAATTGTATATTGTTTCCATACCTTGTTGGTATAAATTTTATAAAAGTATTATTATTATAGAATAACAAATAAATGAGCAATATTTCATAAACAACAAATTATTTATTCATGAATTAATTATATTTAATGCAAAAAAATTGTGGAATACTGTACTTAATTCGGTCACTTACAATATGACTTAACAATTACTAGTTAAACTAATTTTAATAGTTTTGATAAAATAACTAAAATGAAATGATTTTAAATGTGAAAGATTTACCAAATTCAAGGTTTTTAGTAAATTATTACGTTAAGTTTAGTGCATAATAACTTAAAATAGTTATGTTTTTATTAAACATTTATGAATTGAATTATTATTATTATTTATTAAAATAACAAATAAAATTTAAATTAACCTTAACCAGATATTTGACATATTAATTAATTTGTTTCCAATAAAACAAATGTTGAGCAGACATAATAACAAGTAATTTATAATAGAAAACAAAATGTAAACTGAATATAAATCTATTGTACAAATTAGTTTTGATCATTTGTAAGATTCAACTTCGCATACAATGGCTGTGAATAAAATATTATTATTACTTTTAGTAGCATATTGTATGGGTAAGCATTTAACAAATTATATGTTAAAAATAAATAATAATTCTCATTGTGTTCCACAACTAGTCTTATTTCAAGAATCGAGAGTCGATTCCAAACCTATTGGATCTAAATTACGAGAAAAGCGTGGATTTCTTGATCTATTCTTCCCACCCATCCAGGAGATAGTGGTTGAACACCACGTGCCGTACTATCCGCCTGATTATGTGGTCGAAGAAGTCGAATATCATTACCCACTACCATATGCTTACTAATTGTATACATTTTGACTATTCACTTATTTGGTTTTGTAAATTTAGTTTGAAATCAATTTGGTATAGCTTATCAAATAACTAATTTTATATTTAATATTAATTATGTAACATATTGTAAGTCGTAAGTCAATTCTTAAAGATAAATTACTGTATTATTAGCTGGATAAGAAATGTATTATATTACGTATGTTGTTAAAGTATAACTTGTGTATAATTGATAGAAAATTTTATTACAATTGTATACAAGTTTCTAAAGGCTTAAAATTTTAGAGCATGTTTCAGGACATCATTTCATTTAATTTCCATACTGTTTTTATCACTAAACTCATTTTAATAAGTACTATAATTACAGTTCCTATTATCGACTTATAATACAGTTAGGTACAGGTTATAAATGTTATAAAAGGTAACAATTATGTATAATAAATTTTGTTATTTTAGCACTTTTTGTGTTGTAATGATAATACTTTTCTCGAATTATAAATATAAACAAATAATAGAAAATAAAATTTATTGTATATCAATATCAAAATAAATCATTTTTCTATTGTTTAAACAACTCATCAGTAAATAAAAAGAGAATAATATTTAGATTTTTAGGTTTCAAATATTTATATTTAAAGCATTTAAAATTGATATTTAACTGTTTTACAACCAAATTTTATAAAAATTCTGTAGATTTTATATAAGAAAATAATGTATATAATTAAGAGTATTTTATTTCTAGTTATCGTCTTATTTATAGGTTTGTATTGAAAACTAAATACCTTAATTTTTCCTATGATTACAAGTTTTATGTAACTTTTGATAACTACTTCCTATAATAACCAGATGTTGAGACAATTGAAGTAAAGAGCGAGGAGTCGTCAAAAGTATCAAACAGTGATCCGACAAAATTGGATTTATTGGAGGCTTTGTTTTACCCCATATTCAAGAGAACAACTGTTGAAGAGGAAAGAGCCCCGGTATTCAAGAATGTGTTACCAATGTTGACCACAATAGCTGAACAGAACCAGAATCTCAAAAACCAACAAAACTTTTTGGATAATCAAAGAAAGAAAAGATCTATTGGTTTACCCATAAGACCGTTGAGTCCAGTAGCGAAAGGCAATCGTTTTGGGTATGGCTATGGAGGCTATGGAGGCTACGGAGGCAAAAATAATATTAAATTATTGTCATTAATCAAAATGTTCAGACTATTTTTGAAGTGTTTTTAAAAATTATAGTATTCTTACTTGTACAGAAAAAGCATAGTTTTAGCATAGTTAGATAAATCTGTACTTAAATAAATAAGTTTAATAAATTAGAAGTATGTTTTTATTTTTCATTATTTTATTTGTTTCACTTTTGTTTTCAATTTGAATGCAACCTATAAAATTCAAAGAAATCATAAAAAACAATGACAATGCGTAGCAACCGTTGAATTATAAAAATATTTTTCAAATTATAACTACAGTAGTCTACCTACAATACCTGAATAATGTGGATATATATAAATATATTTAATACGAATGCAAATATCATTAATTCATAACTTATTCTTCGCGTGTAAGCAACTAATCAATGATTACCCACTATTCCCCCCCAAGGATGACCATTAAAATAGACATAATTGTCGAGACAATTGTCAGAAAATAATGAAAAATATAAATAAAATAAATATAAAATCTTAAAAAATAATCTTCACTAAAAACCTAGATACAAAATCTCAAGGCACATACTTTTTAATTAAATTATATTGTATTCTCAATAACTCCCGTTCCCTGTCTCTGATCTTCTAAAGTAATTAAAATGTTAAAAGTATTTCTTTTATTCAATAGTCTGTCAGCACTTTGAAAATACTCTTGCTTTTGAAAAGTTTAAAGTTGTATTAATTATATATAATTTTCTACAATTAACTCATTTAATGAATCATCAAATGAATGACAAAACCAGTTATGAATACAATTAGTGTTAACCAGAATTGCATAGAGAATTGCTGTCAAACTATTGCCCACTTATGGGACAATTTCACTCTCAGTCACTCAGATGTCGTACTCTCCCTGTACTACTCAATAGACTTTTAAAACTTATTATAATTAAATTCATTAAACTTTGAACAAGTGAATTCAAACTTTTGATTTCCTATAATATTAGATACATTGCGAACAATATATTCATTGTATTCATATCGTATGAATTAATTAAAAGTTGATTTTAAAAAACTCAAACATTCAAGTGTTATGAATAGTGAATATTATTTGTGAATTTCACTCAAATGCAGCAATAATTGAGAGAAACACATATTTTTATGGATCACATCATATGAATACAGTATTTCATAACATTTGTTGGCATTGTTTTCAGTGGATATGAATAGCGTATGAAATGGTAATACAATGCAATTGAATGCCATTTAAATCTATTGTCTATTGGATTAACGGCTCAAATGGAGGCAAACCATTGGAGGCAATGGCTGTTGTGATAGTTTTCAGTGGATATTAATAGCGTATGAAATGGTAATACAATGCAATTGAATGCCATTTAAATCTATTGTCTATTGGATTAACGGCTCAAATGGAGGCAAACCATTGGAGGCAATGGCTGTTGTGATGCAACTAAACACTCAACACGTGTTTAATTATGATTTGCCACACATTTCACACTAATTATCACTGTATTTGCGGTCTTAAGTGGTAATCCAGTGATATATCAACTATAGTGGTCACCAAACAACTCAATTGATTGTCTTTTTCATTGTTTTTTGCATTTTATTTACTTTTATTTTCAAATCCATTTGTGTTTACATTTTGCTGTGAATCAAGTCTCCACTCACGAGTAAGTCTTAAACGCATGTCTTATTATCATTGAATTGTCTATTAATACCATTCATTAAATTCAATGCCAGATCTGATCCGAGAGATCCGTATGACAGCAATGGCCACACTATTGGTGAAACAGTTGACTATATTGTTGTGGAAGTCGTGGATAACCCGACGAAGACACTGGATATCAACCATATTTGAAATACTGACACCTCTTGTGCTGTCGTTCCTCATCGCATACATCTATGCGAAGACACAGCAGTTGACCCAAAACATGACATCCAGTCTGGAGGCCCAGGGAATAGATCTGTCAAACATGACATCGCAGTCGGTATCAGTTCGTGACATTCCTCCGGTTATCTTCAAATACCCGACCATTGATGTGATATTCAACAATCGCCTCAACTTTGAGGGCCATATAATCTACGGCCCGACCTCTGCGACCACCGACGCCCTCATGCGAAGAGTGCAGGACTACTCACCATATAGTCTGAGAATCAGTGGTTTGGCGACCGAAGAGTTAGTGAACGCGAAGATGGAGTCCTTTGTGTCCAATGAGACGATTGACACGAATCTCCTCCGCAGCACTTATGGCCTTATATTTGATGAAAACTCTTTGCGAAACAATCGCCTCAACTATACTCTGCGGATGTTTGGAGAGATGGCATTCATAGTGAATATAGTGTTTCCCAATAAGTTCTTTCCCGGACCGGCAGCTGATCTCAAGCCATACACCGAACACTTCGGTCCCCTTCAGATCCTTATAAACCAGGCGTTTGTGTCACAACTGACACAATCGGGCGCTAAGAAGATTGACATCAAGAGAGTCCAGACGTTTAAATACCCATTTCCTGGCTTTAAGAGCACCGGTGATGAGAGTCAGTTGTTTTCGCTGCAGGACTTGATTGCGGCCACCATTGCCATCGGATATGTAGTGATGTGTCCATTGATTGTCAAACGTATAACCGATGAAAAAGTGGCCAAAGCCAAGGAAATGATGCGAATGATAGGAATGTCCGATTGGGTGTTCTGGTCGTCCCATTTCATCTCCTACTTCCTGATAATGGTTTTCCAGTCCGTGATGTTCACCATTTTCTATTGCGCCGGCTTTGGAGGCGATCCCGTCATAAGCTACACGAGTGGCAGCCTATTCTTCGCCATATTATTCATCTACAGTATTCAATCCATTCTCTTCTGTATGACAATCACAACGATATTCAATCGCCCGGTGCTGGCAGTGATTGTAACCGTCATCTTATGGATAGTGACATATGCCGTACCAATTGGTATATTGAATCCATTTTTCCATAAGAATATGGATATTATTGGCACAAACTCTGCGAGAATGCTGTCCTCATTGCTACCAAATATGGGTCTTTCCTGGTGTATGTCCATTATGGGTCAGTTTGAAGTCATGGGCACCGGTGCCAACTGGTCCACACTGTTTCGAAACACATCCGTCTATAACAGCCTAACCCTAGCATTGGTTATGTGTATAATGTCATTATCTTGTCTTATGTATGGAGTTCTCATCTGGTATTTAGACAATGTGTGGCCCTTTCAATACGGAGTTCCCAAACCTGTTTGCTTCCCATTCTATATGTCGTATTGGTTTCCCTCTAAATACCGAGACTTCGATGAGAAACCCGAAGCAAAATCAGATTTAGTGATCGATACGAGAAATTTCGAGAGAGAACCCGAAGCGCCCGTCTCTGTGAGGATCAAGAATTTGCACAAAGAGTTCGGTGGTTATGGCACTCAACACAAGACAGCCGTTGATAATATGTCACTCAATATATACGGCCGACAAATCACAGCACTGTTGGGACATAACGGCGCTGGGAAGACGACTACAATGAATATGATTACCGGTATATTTCCGCCCTCAGCCGGAACAGTACATGTGGACGGGTATAACATTCAGACTGAGACTAATAAAGCGCGACGAAGTATTGGGTTGTGTCCACAGGTTTGATATTTATTGTCAATTAATATAATGATTGATAAAATTAATGAATTTCTAATTAATATTTAGGAAAATGTCATATTTAATGAGTTGACTGTTGGACAACACCTGAAATTGTATGCCGTTCTCAAGGGCTGTGACTGGGATTCAGTTGATCTCGAAGTGAAACAAACGCTGGAAATGTTGAAACTGACGGACAAATTGCATGCAATGGCGGAGTCGTTGTCGGGAGGAATGAAACGCAAGTTATCGCTGGGCATCGCTATAGTGGGCGGCACTCGTATACTCATTCTGGATGAGCCCACGTCAGGCATGGATCCCGAGGCCCGGCGTGTTGTATGGGATCTCTTGCAGTACTTACGGTGTGAGCGAACAATACTATTGACCACACATTACATGGAAGAGGCAGATGTGAGTCCCTTTGGAGTTCACTTTTAATCAATGGTTTAATTTATGATTTGTGTTTGTATTGAAAGGTTTTGGGCGACAGAATAGCCATTATGTGTGAGGGGAGAGTCAAGTGTTGCGGTTCTCCGATGTTTCTCAAGAAACGGTTTGGCGCCGGATATCATCTGCGAGTCTGCAAAGGCTTGAACTTTAAGCCAACATTAATTGGACAGACATTACAGAAATATCTACCAAAAGCTCAACTCCACAGTGAAATTCAATCAGAAGTGATCTATTCGTTAGAATCCAATGATAGAAACACTTCGGAGAACTCGACTCAAGTATTTCCACAACTTTTTGACGAAATCGAGACAAATAAGGAAAAGTTGGGAATCGCGTCGTGCGGTCTCACCATCACTACTATGGAAGACGTGTTCTTACGAGTAGGCAATGATGATGTCGAGGGTATTGACACCGATATGATGAACAGTCGCACCAAACTGAAGGACAAGTCATCGGACAGTTTGCTTCATAAGAGCGCTAATCATTTGACTGGAAATGAGTTGCTTTATAACCGTTTTACGGGTCTCCTTATGAAACGGTTCCACTATTCCAAGAGATACTGGCCTATGATGTGCTTTCAACTACTAGTGCCCGCATTTTTGTTTGTCATCGCATTGCTTACCGATTATGGCATTCGCAACTCAATCACCGGTCAATCCAAGAACTTGGATCTAAATCTGAAACAAATGTATGGCAAGACTTTCGGATTTTTCCAGTCGTTCGCTTATCCAGACTTTGGACCCGTTTATCAGTCAAATGGCAATAATGACGACTTAAACACAACTATTTTAGGCCCGTATGAGGAGCCTAACAAATGGGCGCTCAGGTATGCGGACAATCTGGAAGAATACTCTCATCACTATCTGACCGGTGCTACTGTCGAAGGAAATACAGCTTCAATTTGGTATAACAACGAAGCCATTCACTCGCTTTCCATCGCAATCGACCTCTTCTTTGAATCACTGCTTAAATATTTATTACCCGACGTGAGGGACAACATATCGATTACTGTCCGCAATCATCCGCTCTCTTACAGTGAGAACACCGTTAGCTTTACGGCCGTCATATTTGGTTGGGCCGTCACTTGCCTTATGCTGACTCCCATAACAGTGCCATTCATTGGTGCCTCTTATGTACTCTTCCCGATCAACGAACGCATATCTAAAGCAAAATTATTGCAATTAATGACAGGACTGTCGGCACCGCTCTTCTGGTTCTCGAACTTAGCCTTTGATTTACTCAACCATTCATTAGTTGTGATAATAATTTACATAATTTTCGCTATTTTTGATTTCAATCACATATTCTTCGCGCAATCAAATACAGCCATCGGTTTGTTTTTAATGCTATTCCTGTTTGGCTTCGCGTCTATACCACTGGCCTATTGTTTCTCACTATTGCTCAACAAGCCGTCCACAGGTTTCGCAGTTCTCGTCATATTATACCTACTGTTTGGAGTGATGTCCATATCAGCGATGGGTGTCCTCGACCTCATCGTCAATGTTATGAAAATGAATATCATATCCAGTGTTAAATTCAATACAATCCTCTCATTCTTCCGACTCATACCCGTCTTCTCAATGAGTTTCGGAATCCAAAAGCTCTATCGAATCGGATCTTTCGCACAGATTTGCAAAGAATACGAGTCCAAGAATATGACACTTCTTTGCAGTTTCATCGACAGGAAGAGCATTCTCTACGGCTGTTGTATTGACAAGTGTTCGCCAACTAATGAATGCTATAGTAATCAGAATCCGTTAAGTTTTGATCACAACGGCGTCGGACAAGAGTTTGTATATCTGGTGGCCAGCGGTCTCTTCTTTATGGCTATTCTCCTTCTATTCGAAGGTTTGTCTGATTTTAATGTTTTTATTCAATGCGAAGATATTTATTATGATTTTTACCACAATTTAGTCCAATGGATGAGAAAACTATGGTATAGAATACGCGAATCGCGAGTCCGGTCCTCAAACAATGGCATTGCTATGGTATCCGTGAATAATGAATACCAGAGCAATGAGGACTCGGATGTGGTCGCAGAGAAGTACCGAATAGAAGGGCTGAACGATCGACGAAATCTGAGCGAAGAGGCGTTGGCTGTCATTAATTTGTCCAAAAACTTTGGTTCATTCAAAGCGGTCGATAACTTGACATTTGGTATCCATAAGGAGGAGTGTTTCGGTTTACTGGGAGTGAACGGCGCCGGAAAGACCACTACATTCTCGATGCTTACCGGAGATCTGATGGTCTCCAATGGCAACGCGTTTATCGATAATTACACCTTAAGAGAAGACTTGAAGGCATTCCAACAACAGATCGGTTATTGTCCCCAATTTGACGCACTCCTCGAGAAGTTGACGGGAAAGGAAATGCTGTATCTTTTCGCCCGACTCCGTGGGGTTCCGTCGAATAAAATCGACGGCGAAGTGCAGGCGCTCATCAAAATGGTTGACCTCCAGAATCACGCCCACAAGTGTACGGAGACGTACAGCGGCGGCAATCGGCGAAAGTTGTCGTTAGCCCTCGCGATAGTGGGTACGCCTCCCGTCATATTCCTGGATGAGCCCACGGCTGGGGTCGACCCGACCGCCCGACGCAAGATCTGGTCGACACTGGTCTACATTCAAGAGAAATATCAATCGGCGATAGTATTGACGTCCCATTCGATGGAGGAGTGCGAAGCCCTGTGCTCTCGGATCGCGATTATGGCGAACGGGAAGTTCAAGTGCTTGGGACCGACGCAGCACTTGCGCCGTAAGTTTGGACAGGGATTTACGATCGTTATTAAGTTGAGTCGCGAACTCAACGACGACTCCAATTATGTGGTCGAAGTGCAGCAATACATACAAAAAGCGTTTCCCTCAGCGGTGCTCAAAGACTCGCACCAATGCCTTCTTCACTATCACATCACCGACACGTCCGTCCAGTGGTCGCAGTTGTTCGCTGTCATGGAGACGGCCAAAGGGCGCCTCCAGTTGGAGGACTATTTGGTTTCCGACACCACTTTAGAACAAATATTTTTGGCATTTGCTAAAACTCAGCGTTAGTTTTGACTGAAAAATACAGTATAAAATGAATTCAGTTTTAGTATTTATTTGAACCATAATTAATGCATCAAATCGTATGAAATACAATATATTCTTATATTTATTGGATATTATTTAAGCACCGAATTACTTGTCATTCAAACAAATTTAAGTTTTTATCTGTTATTAACTTATATTATATTTTTATTATCAATATATATATTTGAATTTGTGATAATTTTAAGCTTTAAACTTTTTATATTTTTTAGTCATTGAAAAATTATAATACTGTGTACCTCCAAATCTTATTTATTTTATAAAATTGTTTGAATAGATATTCACATCTAATCTGAATCTCTGTTTGCAAAATATTGTTACATTATATTGAAATTGAATATTTATTGTTTTTACGATAACGAATAAACGACATTAGAAAGTTATTTTGTATTATTTGAATGTTATACTGTATCTATATTGCAATTAATAAAGTCATTCATAAAAAACTTTGTAATACTCTCTCTTTCTCTCTTAAGTGAAAGACTTAAGACAGTTATCTGTTTACGATATTCTTCCGGCACTTTCGCAACGATAACATTATTAAAAATAATTACCCGTTTATTTAGTGTTGTTTTTATGTATACAAAGCATTGTCATTGCAGTGAAAAGTGAGAGAAAAAGTGTTAATTATCTAAATAAACAGCGTTTGAGTCAATTTGTGTGGCGATAACTGCATATCTGAGACACACATTAATTATCTGAATAATGTGTAACAAAAGTGTTTCAAGACATAAGTTAGTGTCAAATCAACTTAACGTACGACTCAGTGATCACGACTTAAAAGCATTGCAAAAATGTCTCAATAGCGTTAAAAAGTTTTTAGACAAAATATTTGCTAACCAAATGATTTATATTTGTCGTTATCTATTTGGAAAAAGTTTTTTCAATTTTCAAATCATTGCATTTTACTCCTGTGCAGTATATCTCTATGAAATTCATGCCATGAATACAGTACTGTATTGTTTGAATAGCTGGAGTAGGAGGTGATGTTTACTGCATATTGGAAAAGGCTTTTCAAGTAGGTTCGGGTCACCGGGATTAACTTAGTTTGACCCCATTCATGGTCAATAATCTTTGCCAGTAATGGAAATATATTTTCACGCAAACAGCATAATTAAGAGACAAAATTTTGGTGTTTCTTAGATGAGAACCCAAAAGTTTAATCAATAAGCCAGGTTTATAAGCACTTATATCCAGGGCCTCACTATTACTGGTTTTTTTCAGAACCTAAGTACTTTAAATAAAATCATTTGGATACTGTACTTTCATAAATCTTTAAAAACAATGTGAAACCTTCGAAAAGGTTAACTATATCTATCGGAAATACCATTATTGTTAACTTTATGATCATTTTTACAGATATTAGTGCCTTTCCTCACAGCCCCACACACTCGCTGTAGCTTTTATTATAACAATTCACGTGAAGTTATGACAAAAATGAGAGAATTTTGTATTTTTGGAAACAAAACAATGAAAAATTCATTCGTAAAGAAATGTTAGCTTTTAAAAATTTTTCTATTAGTGTGAAATATTTGCGAAAAAATTATTATCGCATTTCCTAAACGTTTTTTCAATGAAAATATAATTAACTAACTCAAAAAATTAATACTATATTTCCAAAAATAAAAATATCATTATTTCCTAATTGTAATAACTATTTCCTAGATATTTAACGTTTTCCAGTATTCGATAATAATTTTTGTGTTGAAATGACACTGAATTTCATGGTTTATGGCTTTTTTAATAGCATTTCCATTATTTAAGAGTAATAAATGTAAATAAATAACTACTTTCCAAATGTTTTCTACACTATTAATAGACTTAAGCCATTAGTTTACAAATTGTTGAAATTTGAGTCCATAATGAACTGATTTGATGGGGACTGGAGGGAGAGTAATAAATGTAAATAAATAACTACTTTCCAAATGTTTTCTACACTATTAATAGACTTAAGCCATTAGTTTACAAATTGTTGAAATTTGAGTCCATAATGAACTGATTTGATGGGGACTGGAGGGGAGGGGAGGGAATCTAATAAGCATTTATAACAACAATAACCCGGTTCTTAATATTCTAGTAGTAAGTGGTTCTCAAATGTAAATTAAAACTGACTTTTAAATTAGCATTTCATCGACTATTTGGGTACATTGAATACGTTGGATACGAGTGCACCAGTGATAACGAGTATAGCAGTTCCCTTCCCAGCCAACCAATTAATTAATCATTAAATAATGAGCAAAGCACACACCAATAATCAGCACAGAAAAAGTGACAGATTTTGTCAAATATGAGATACAGTTGTATTACAGTTGTATTAATCACAAGTGAGATGTAACACTCAGGGAGTGGACAGAAAAAGTGTTGCAAAACACAGGGTTTGAGTAAAAGTAGAATATTTGGCGGTTAAGCAAAGGATATACAGTAGAGTGGAGGTAGTCTCTGGCAGGGAATATACAGTATAGACAGTATAGTATGATTGTATGATTATGTGATTGTATGCGACACACAATTACACTAATCATAAGCTGATCGGAAGTGGCAGTCATTCGGTGCAGGCGTGCAAAGACCTGATCTCGTGTCTAAACATCACACCATCGCTACGCTCACTGCTGTATACACTCTATGCGATTAGTGTTGCTTACGGTTCACTCCGATTCCTATGGTATTCCTATGCATTGGCACTGATTGTAGGAATAGTGAGTGTTTCGACTCATACTATACTTTGTCTGTTCTGAACATATAGTATATAATTCAGAGTCTATTTCTTTGTGATAAGATAACGGATTCCGTCCAATGAATTATAGTTAATACTATTTGGGAAGTCTATTAAAGCCTGTGAACCAGTTGTGAGAATATTTAGTTTGAATTCATTTCTCGAATCGAAAGGTTTTAAAAGGCTTTTAAGAATTCAAACAGTTTTTAACTGAATGTTTGTTTTGATTTATACACTAATTATTATTGACTTTTATTGACTAACACTTAACGAGTCCTCTGAAGAGTTGTATTCATTGATAAATCTGTGGTAAACGCGACCAAAGAGTGACACAAAATGTATCCATCGTTTGCGCGAAACTTTATGAAACAACACCAGAAGTTCACGAAAGAAGACCAACAGATATATAACAATCATATCATTGAGAACTTCATCGAATCGGTGAAAGAGATGAACGGAGCGGTTCTCATACCATCGCGACTGAAGGACTTGGAAAACAGACCCGAATGTCAACTGAATGACGATCTCTTCGAGTACTACAATATGATTAACACCGTCAAGAAGGATCTGTTTGAGCCGCACATCCAGGAAGACGTCAACAACAGTGTGTTTACGCCGAAGAGGAAGATCTCGAAGGCTTTCATTCAACGCAAAGAGGAGAACACGACGCCCTTCCGGGAGAGGAAGATCTCGGCCGTCAGTAACATACCGGTGCTCCCGCTGCTCGACAATCACAAGCCCCACACCAATGGATCCAATGGCAAGTTGTCCCCCAATTCGTCGCGAGTGTCGAGTTGTTCTGATTTGGGAAGTATTGGTCACTCGGAGGACATTGACCTCAAGAACCAGAACTCGGCTCAACTGACCGACCAATTCATACATCACTTGCACTCAATGTACTCGATATTAGAGCACTTCACCAAAGCTGCCGATTATATCACTGAGCAGTACATAGATCAGGTCGAGTCCTCCTAAACACTCTTAGGATTAACTAATTTATATTTAATATCGATTCAAAACATTATTTAAATCTGTATTATATTTCAACCAAAGCTGCCGATTATATCACTGAGCAGTACATAGATCAGGTCGAGTCCTCCTAAACACTCTTAGGATTAACTAATTTATATTTAATATCGATTCAAAACATTATTTAAATCTGTATTATATTTCAAAAGTTATAAATTTGTTGTACATTTTTAAAAGTATGAAATAAATTCAAATTTTTTAATTCAATAACTTTTAGTACTTTCTTAAAATGAAATTATGGATAAGATTAATATCGGATGATATCGATACCCACATCGACATTGAATCGGATGTACATTGAAATATTGTCTTTGAATAATGCATTCAAAGGGTATTTCCTAATCCTTTGTAAATAAGGATTTGTGTATTTATGTTTTATTAAAAACGAAAATTTAAAAAATTAGATTTTTATTCAAAAATTGAAGTTCAAGTTTGCCATAAAATATTGAATTAAAGTCAGGAAATACATCAAAATGAAAATAAGTTTTAAATCAAATTTTCGGGTTTTTCTGAATAAAAGTTATATTTTATAATTCAATGAAACAGCATTTGTCAGAAGAAAACTATTTTTTATATCAAATTGTAGTTTAGTTTAGTTTATGAGGAAAATAATTTATGACTAAAGCTATAACACAATTGATTGTAACTCGAGATTATATTTTTTGCACAAATCCTATGTAATAATTGTTTTAAAAGTGCCGTTCATTCCATACTTTATTAGTGATTCATTTGAAATGCTAAACCAAAGCTGCCGATTATATCACTGAGCAGTACATAGATCAGGTCGAGTCCTCCTAAACACTCTTAGGATTAACTAATTTATATTTAATATCGATTCAAAACATTATTTAAATCTGTATTATATTTCTAAAGTTATAAATTTGTTGTACATTTTTAAAAGTATGAAATAAATTCTAATTTTTTAATTCAATAACTTTTAGTACTTTCTTAAAATGAAATTATGGATAAGATTAATGTCGGATGATATCGATACCCACATCGACATTGAATCGGATGTACATTGAAATATTGTCTTTGAACAATGCATTCAAAGGGTATTTCCTAATCCTTTGTAAATAAGGATTTGTGTATTTTTTTATAGTGTTTTATTAAAAACGAAAATTTAAAAAATTAGAATTTTATTCAAAAATTGAAGTTCAAGTTTGCCATAAAATGTTGAATTAAAGTCAGGAAATACATCAAAATGAAAATAAGTTTTAAATCAAATTTTCGGGTTTTTCTGAATAAAAGTTATATATTTTATAATTCAATGAAACAGCATTTGTCAGAAGAAAACTATTTTTTATATCAAATTGTAGTTTAGTTTAGTTTATGAGGAAAAAAAATTATGAC